TCGCCGCCTGCGGAGTGCGCGGCGCCAGCGTCTCGCAGTTTCCCGAACAGACGAGGGGAGCTGACGAGAGCTCCCCAACCTTCTCCCTTTGCCCGTGCGCGTCTCGTCGCCATCGTCGCCAGCTCGCCAGCTCGTCAGTGGGGATCTGATGTCAGGAAGTGCCACTTCCCCCGTGCGTTCTGACTGGCTTGCGACGAGAGAAAATTCTTTTCCGGCCTTCAAAATTGGTCTCGGAGCGATCTTGCTCTCCGCCGGAAGTTCTGCCTCCTTTCGTCGCCGGGCGTCAGAATTCCCGCGGATCCGGCCGCCGGTTCGCAAGTGTGAACGAGGCATAAGAGCTGCGCTCTAAAAAACGTAAAACATTTATGCGCTTAACAAGTACTTTTCGTTTACAGATAGTAGTTGAGGTAAAACCAAATCAATCTGACTAAAACAAAATACAATCTAAAATCAGTATAAACGTTGTTGGCTGCTTTTAGTCAAAACAATCCAATCCTTAGCGCTCTAATTAGGCGTTCGTCTGCCGCGTTGACCGTCTGTCGACGAAGATTTTGGCCTTCAATAGTATGCCGAGACTAATAGACACTTTTCAAAAGTCGGCGCCAACGTCTGTCCGCCATTGCTTGCTCACATACTCTGACCGCGTATTGGACACGAGGATGACGTCAGCGTTCGGCGTCAACTCGGTTCAGCTCGCGTTGATCACGAGCGCTGACGTCACCGTTCGGCAAGGACTCGGAGCCAGTTTCGCTCTTCGTGAGCAGGCAATGGCGACCGAACACTGTTGCTGGATGGACTTTTGAAAAGGGTCTATTGTGCCCGGAACAAGTTTCTGACTGGTGTGTTGTACCGCGACCAAAAAAGTAGTTCTCGAGTTCCGCCCGATGATGTCATAAAAGTGTCGCGCTCTCGCCGGTCGCGATCCTGGCGGTGTCCCAGCAGCGGTGGTGAATGCGGCAGAAGTCTGATCTGCCGCAGGTCGCTCTCCGGCTTGACAGTCCGTAGAAGCTCCGGCAGTCAGGAGTTGGGACGCCGCGGCTCTCGCGTTAAGCACGAAACACATGTACGACGAAACCGTCCGATCCGACGTCCGACCGCGCAATACGACGGTCGGAGGCGAGGGTTTTCAACGCTCTCCGATGCTACGAAAACCCTCTCCCCTCAAGGTCATTCCGGCAGTCCGCACGTCGGATCGGACGGTTTCGTCGTACATGTGTTTCGCGCTTTAGGCTCGTGCTCTTCGCCGGCATCATCCCACAGCAGACGACACTCCGGCTTCTGCGACGTCGTTTGTTACCACTTGGGGACCACTTTTGAACACACCACGCACTCCAGGTACCGTAATGCCCGTGTCCCACTAGAGCGACAGACAGAAACAAAAGACAGCGACAAGCCTCAAACCCATCCAGGATGCTTACGATGGTACCTTTGGCAGGCCTTTAGTCGTTCGGTGCTCGTGAAGTAAGCACGAGCGATTGCAAGCCTGCCAAAGATACCCTCGCGTGCATGGTGCTCGTGTTTGAGGATAGCCTCCCTTATTCTACAAGACCTCTCAAATCGCGAAATACCCTGGTTTGAAGCTTGTCGCTGTCTTTCGTTTCTGTCTGTCGCTCTAGTGGGACACGGGCATAACGAAACTCAGACGAGTGCGGGTGAGCATCTGATTTGTTTATATCTCAGCGGAAGCGGCAGGCTCTAGAAGACTTGCTTTTAAGCTACAGGTAACGTGCAACGGACTCTCGGCCGATCGAGCCAAGAATATCCATGCGAAGTCTCTGAGTAGCGAGACGCTGCCCATGTCAACGGTTACCGCGTCTCTTTAGGCTTACGAACAGCCGGAATCAGACGACGATCTTTAAAATGTAGCAAGCCATAGCCTCCTATATGCTGACAAAGCCTGGCAGATCACTCCGAGAAGTGGCTGCCGAAATGGGAAAGGTGGAGTGGCAGACAGCGGATGAGAGGAGAACCACGTGACTGGCGTCCCGCTGTGGCGAGATGCCGAAACACACTTCTGACAAGCGAACAAGTGTGTTTCGGGTCCTCGCTGCTTCAAAAGCTGTGGGCTGACGTCCAGGTTCCCCGAGAAATGGCTCTTTGATGCTCTGTGCTACCAGACCCTCGCGCTCCAAATCTGCGACCGGGAACTCTGTGGCTTCGTCGTCGAACCACCAGGCTTTGTGAGTATAGAGGAGGCTATGCTACCGGTAGCGTGCACGAACGCTCGGCCAATCGAGCCAAGAATATCCACTCGGAGTCTCGGAGTAGCGAGACGCTGCCATGTCAACGGTTACCGCGTCTCTTTAGGCTTACGGACAACCGGAAGTCAGAATACGGTCTTTAAAAAGGGGCAAGCTCACCGCTCATTCTCTCAGAATTGAGCGAGATAAAGCGAAGCGAAATTCGGCTGCCTCATTCACTGGCAATGAACGTGGCTCTAAGGCAGCGACCGTGATGAATTTGCTCCGAAGCGAGCGGAAAGGGCGCCGCCATCCAGGATTGGGCAGAAACACTCTCAAAAGTATTTGAAAATACAAATACTGGGATAGATGCCAAAATCAGCTAAAATACTGATACTGAAACTTATTTATAAGAATGTATTGTGATACGTATCAGAAATACTTTTGGAGAATAGCAAAGTATTTGCATACAAATACATTACATTTTGGTGGGGCTGAAATACAGACACTGAAATACATTGTTATAAAAGCAATATTTTCGACGATTGGTGCACTCCTTAGTGCGTACGAAGAACAAAAAAGAAGCATGATCTAGAATACTATCTTTTGTTCTTAAATCAGCAAGCAAGTACTCACTGCATGTTGGAGGCCGAATTAAGCTCGAATCAAATTTATAGCAGAATTAACATCTTTTATTTTGGGAGGTAGCAATGAAAGTAAGCGATTTTTTCACCCCAGGGACATCTAGATCAGTTATGTGTCTTCCCAAATAACTTCGAGAAGTCACTATGATTATGTCCAATCCGGACGCCTCTTTCAGCAATGACCTTATGACGTCACGTTGAATGAAGTTCAAAGACCCCGCTTCCTTTCATCCCTTGGGCGCGCCGACAGCGCTTTCCCCTTTTGAAATCTACCGGAACAGTCGACCTTCTAAAGTGTTGGAAAACATTTGTTAATTTTTGCACAATAAAGAGAGTCATGTGCGGACAGATACACCAAACGTCCCGGACGAAACTTGGTCTTGACCTTCTGTGTGGGGGGTCAGCAACTATTTTATAATTCTAACGAAATGCATCGGCCCTAATAGTATCGCAATACCTACGACACACCCGAAAAAGTATTTCGATACAGAAATACAAAATACAGTTGAAGAACTGTATCGCGGTGCATATATATCGATACATAATATATTTCTAAAATAACATCGCGATAACATTTGTATCGCGATACTTCCGAACCGTGCCGCCACGTTTGTCGACGCAACCCGGCCCCAAGCCAAGAGGGGCCCCACGCTATTTCTCGAATATTACGTTAGGGGACGAGCGTCGACTTAAGAACCCAACCCGCAGTTTAAGTTCGGCGCATGCGCAGTGGTGGGCCCCTATTTCTTTGGGGCCCGGCCCTATTTCAAAACTCTCTATATGGATCGCGGCATGTGGAAATGTGTATGTACGATTCTTGAGGATGCGGAGCGGTGATCTCTTCTTGTCGACGCCAGATTGTACTCCGACCTATTCTGCGGTGGAGGTGGGCACGTTGGTTGCAATCAGACGTTACTGAAAACATTAACGCAAGAACGGATTAAACGACGCGTCATTTACTAACATTTTGGACGAAACCCCGGGACTGGGGGGATAAAAAAGGACAACACAACACAGAGTCTCAAACACAGCTGAAATTTATTGGACAGAATATCGTGGTTTTATAGGGCACATGTGTTGTCCTTTTTTATCCCCCCAGTCTCGGGGTTTTGTCCAAAATGTTAAACCTTCACCAGCTTGTTTGCGCCCTAACTTTTTGTTCATTCACTAAGCCATCTATTGGGATGGCAGGCACGAAAACGAAAGAACCCAATTGGTAGAACGCATGTAATAATGTAAACACCGTTCGCTCACTCCGTTTCAACGGAGATGAATTTGAAGGTTATATGACCTTCGGTGACCGAAAAAGCGGGCACACGTGATGCTCCCGTCTCGCAGCATTGGTAGAATCAAATACGCCTAGTGCTGTGCTGTGTTGCGCCTGCCAGCCTGCTCGCCGAGTCAGTTTAAAACGTGTTTTAAGGCGACAGCTTTGTATGAAAATCATGCGCGGGAACCTTGCTTTCCCGTGCTGGCCGCATCGTAGGAAGGCCATACCAGAGACTATCAGCAGCAGAGCATAGCTGTTGGCTTAGCGCCAGTGGCATCGCGTCTTGCGGAGTAAGAGGAGCCAGTATAGCTGGTGTGTGCTCTATCTCTCTCTCTCGCTCTCTCTGTTTTTTAGGGGCGAAGCTCCTTAGGGTCTAGCCTTGTCTGTCCGGCGTCCGTGCTCACATCGATTGCCATTCCATCTGTCTTCTTAAAAAAAGAAAAATGTTTGCGCAGTCGACAGGATTCGAACCTGTGCGGGGAGACCCCAATGGATTTCTAGCCCATCGCCTCAACCACTCGGCCACGACTGCGGGACGAGTAGGGGGCTCTGAGATGTGGTAATAACTCAGGAGCTGGGGATGTCATGAATGAAACGTTGCATGTAGCCGCTCAACGTCTATACAGGAGAGGGCGCTGCGGTGAAATGCGTATATAATCGCGTTAAACTTGGCATGCATTGGCTCAACGTTTATAGACGAGAGGGCGATAAAAAAAATCAGCACCATCGGCACTACCTATGAACAAAATCAGTATCATCAGCCCCACCAGAGCTTCGCCCCAATCAACATCATTCGCCACGTGGAGATGCGGTCATTTTTTTGCATTATTGTTGTGTTGCATTGTCTTAGGTTCGGAAGCGAATGATCCAATGTCCGAATTACATGTAGTTCTTGCTGCAGCCGCTAGCGTGGTATAGGACACTAGATCTTGAGATGCAACTCTTTCTGTCAGGGATCCCTGGGACAAGCTCCTTCCGTAAGGACCCCGACACTTTCCACTCTTGCTGAGGTAACACTGGAGAGGAGGCGAGGGGGGACTGGTCTCCTCTCACTTTCTCTCCAAGAGAGTTTTCTGCTCAAGTGGAAAGAGTGGAGGGCATTGTGGGAAGGAGCTTGTCCGAGGGATGTACGGGTAGACGTTCCAACCAGAACTCTGCGTTCCGACGTCCCCGCGTGCTTCCGTCTCCTTCTCCCCCTCAATTTCTAGCCAAATAGACTCGGAATAAAGTGGCCCCTGTGTGGTGCGTGTCCCGGCAGTTGCTGACACCCGTTGCCCACTGGCCGCAGGTTCGGAACGAGGAGAGCGGGCTGTGCATCGACACGCAGTTCAAGGGCCAGAACGAGCGGTTCTCGCTGGCGCCCTGCCTCAAGGACCAGCGGGGTCGGTCCGGGGAACAGCAGCTCGTGCTCACCTGGCACAAGGACGTGCGGCCGGCCAAGCGCAGTGTCTGCTTCGACGTGTCCAGCTCGGACGTCCACGCGCCCGTCATGCTCTGGAGCTGCCACGGCATGCACGGCAACCAGCTGTGGAAGTACGACACGGTGAGCATGCCAGCGTTGTACCACCTAGAAGACGAGGCAGCAGTACCACTAGGGTGCCTGGAACGCGTCCGTGACTGGTGTGTTAAGCGTCCTTGTCCACCCGTGTGTCCAAAGTGGTTCTGAGGTGGCATCAAATAACGTCCCAAAAGCTCTTATGTCATGTTGTCGGATGTCCTGATCATATGTTAAACGTTGAAGTTCTGAAGAAGAAGAAAAAAAAGCAGGATAGAACGCTAGTGTCGCTGTCGCTGCGGCGTCCTAACCGCTGGCTGCCAAAGCTTCCGCGGGTGCACTCTAAGAAATGCCTGCGCGTCTACTTACCCGCAAAACACTCGAAGAGCCAGTCTCTGCTATCTACGAAATCAGCTCAGCGAATGGTGAGGCGGAGCACCCATTTAGTCTTAAAAATGAAGTCTGCGCTGTAGGGATTACGCAATGCAAAGCGTCATACTTGCATTGCGTAATACCACAGCGCAGACTTAATTGTAAGGTCTGAGCAGATATTACGCCTCATCATTCGCTGAGCTGATTTCGTAGATTGCAATGGTTGGCTCTTTGAGTGTTTTGCGGCTAAGTAGTCGCGCAGGCATTTCTTAGAGTGTACTGTCAAGCTGGAGATCGAACTGTAGCAGATCAAACGTTTGCCTTGCCCGACACCGTATAGGGATCGCGACCTGCGACAACGTGACACGTTTACGACGTCATGGGCCGGAAATAGAGAGACCACATCTTGGGACGCGGCAAATACACCGGTCGGAGACCCGTTACAGGCGCCATAATAGACCCTTTCCGAGATTTTGAAATGATACATAGATTATGCGCAGCCGCCGTCAGTTTGTCTCACCGCTTCCGGCACGAAGCCCGTGATTGGTTCCGAGTTCGCGCCGAGCACTGACGCGGCACTCGTGTGCAATGCGTTTCGGTCCGAGCACGATCCGAATGCTGACGAAGCGCTCGTGTCAAATGCGTGCTCAGATTGCGTGACCAACTAATGGCAGCCACACATAATCTATGCGTCATTTCGACGTTTCAGAAAACGGTCTATTCCACTTAGAAGAGAAGGCTTGCGCTTTGTCTTCTAAGTGCGTCATCGTTAGTGGACCCCCGACCCACCCGAAGCGGTAGGAAGTAACCCTCGCACAGGCAATTTATTTTACGTGGAATCTCACGGCTGTGTAGTTATATTTAAAGTTATATTTATTATATTTTGAATATTTATTCAAAAATAAATCGAAACTACTTTTTTTTTGGGAAATTTTATTTTTACGCCGAGATGTTTCGGTCGCGTCTTTTTGTGGTTTCCATCCGTGTCGTCACCAGCAGGATTTACCTTGTCGTGAGTCACGAGTTGTAGTCCTGGGCACTTACCATCAGTTCCGATCGACAATTTCGATGGCACGTGTGTTAAAAGAGAACTCCGAAAACTTGGAGTCATCGCGTTCTCAAACCGACACCGTCGAAGTTTACTGTATTACATAAGTTTTGTCAATCAAAGCAAAGATCAACTGAAGACATGGCGTCTTCTCTCTCTCTCTCTCTCTCTCTCTCCCTCCCTCCCTCCCTCCCTCCCTCGCCTCCCCCCCCCCCCCCTGAAGTTGCCCGCTAACATCTAAAGTATAGTCAAACCGGTGTGTCATCTGTTTGCAGTTTGCCGACCACTCGCAGCACAGTCGGTTGTGCGCGAACCTCGTATTGACGCACTAACGACCGTGTTGTTACGCACCAGCGCGCGTTTCTGATGTCGCGTAGCTGCGGCGGCGCTGCTGTCGGCACGGCGAATCTGCAGACGCGTCTCTGACTGGTGTGTTTAACATGGTGTAACGCGTCAAAAAAACATGGTGCCTCGATTTCCACCTGGTGACGTCAGAGAAGTGTCACGCTCACGCCGGTCGCGATCCTGGCGGCGTCCCAAGAGCGGTGGTGGATCTGGCAGACACCTGTCCTGATGCAGGTCGCTCTCCAGTGTGGCATTCCACGGAAGCTTCGGCGGCCATACGTTGGGACGTCGTGACGACAGCAGCGACACACGCGTTCGCTCGTGCTTTTCGCCAGCACTTCTAGAACCCACCGCCAGGATGCGCGATCATCCGACAGCTTGACACTCCGGCTTCCGTGACGTCATTTTGTTGAAACTTCGGGACCGCTTTCGATGTATGGGCAGCACAGGATGTTATTAAACACACCGGTCGAAGACGCGCTCCAGGCGCCATTGTGTGGGCCAGCGGGAATTTGTTTGTAAACAGCGTTTTTAGTCTATACACAACTCTCAGTTCTTGTATAACGCGGTGCACGCGTCTTTCTCTTTGTTCGCAGGTGACGAAGCATTTGTTCCATCCAATCACCGCCAACTGCCTGGACTGTGACGCGAAAAGTCACGAAGTCTTCATGAGTATATGTGATAGTGACGTTCGCACGCAGCGATGGCTTTTCGAACACGTCAACGAAACAGCCCTGGCCAACTGGTGATCCGTCGTACCCCCCCTGGAAAATCAGCGATGTGTGACATAATGACGGTCCATCCTTGGCTTTCGAACTGAAAGCAAACCAAGCCGGGTTCTTCAGCAAGGATGGCGGGACGGTGCTTTTGAGAGAAAAAAAAAACGCACCCATGTGTTCTATAAGGCATTCCGGGGATGTCCCAACGGTGTTTCGAGGGTCGTCCAGGATTTCCCCAAGTGGATTTGGAGAACGTCCCGAATACTTATTGAAGTGGTAGCCCAAGTTACTTCTGGATGCTGTCGGCAGTTTCGCGAGGGAGTTATTCCAGTTTCATTCGCGGGATCTGTCGGAAATACGTCGACGATAGCAGTAAGACGGCGTTGTCTCCGCGCAATGTGATTCTGTGGTCTGCACTGCTGGGAACTTCATGTGTGTCAAAATGTGTGTCTACTCTTCCAATTGACTAAGACGGCCGATGCGTCGAGACAGTTTTCGCCTTCGCGGCTGGACAAGTGCGCGCTCTTTTACGCGTGTGAAGTTTATAAGTGGCCGTGCTTGTGGGCCAGGTATGTAAGCATTCCTACAGCAGTATCTCGCAGAAAGTGCGTAACGGTTTGTGAGACGCTTAAATACGCTTCTCGTGAGTAACTAATGCCACTGGTACGTTGTGGGACGTCTCGCTTGAACCGCCAAAAGATCTCGAGACGGAACAGAACTACAAGAAAACTCGTCGCGTGCCAAGTCCACGACTCTTTGCTTCACTTGCGCGCCAGACCCAAAACTACGATCGGTATTTCAGTAACCCGAGACGAACTTTGAACTTTTTTTTCGATCTTTTTCTCTTTCTTTCTTTCTCTCTCTCTCTTTGTCTGTGACTTTTTTTTTCAAGTGACTACAACTTCGAACATGCTGAAGTCCGCCGTTCAGCCATCCAACGTTAATCATGATCGATGGCCACTCCACGAATGAGCCGAAACTTTCTTCGAACTTTTCAAGCCATCCGTCTCTCGGAAAACGTTTTCTTCCGCTTTTAAGGCGCACTCATCGTAAGAGCAGTAAAACATTCGAAAGGGGCAAGGTCTAGTCCGTTACGAAGACCCCTTGTGCCTGGTATACCTGGTATGCCTGCGCCTGGTATGCCAGTGACTGGTAAGCTAGGGCCTGGTATGTCTGTGCCTGGTATACTGGTGCCTGGTGTGCCTGGGCTTGGTATACATGTGGAGGTATGCCTCTCTAGGTATGCTTGTTCCTGGCATGCCTGTCCCAGTATTCATGTCCCTGGTATGCCGCTTCACCGCCCATCGTTGGGACTGAATCTGCTGTGCATCCCATTCACACCATGCGCAGCAATCCATAGCTTTTTTTTTTTTCTCTCTAAATTTGTTTTTCTTCGAAACTTTGGGTCCGTGCCTTTCGGTTTTAGTCACGAAGCTCAAATGCCTTGGTGCTTTTTGAAGTGTTGGTTGTGTCTTTATATATATATAAACAAATACGGGGCGTACGAGAGCTGAACTTCGATCGTTTGTGTTTGTTGTGAATGAAGAGATGTGCGACTGGAAGGTTATGAGGACTAGGTTCCTCGTTAGGGTAGCGTTTTGGCCAAAATTGATTGTACACTGCGTCGCTCTAATGAAGAGTGCAGCCGATGCTACGAGCCATTCAGGGGAGATTAAAGATGAGTCATCTTTAGCCTGACCCGGCATGCAGCTCCGGTGGTACATGAACGCTCTAAGTCAAGTAAATTGTCATGCTTTCGCATAAACCCGGGTGAGTTTATCAAACAATGCACACCTTAACTTCCTAGAACCTGCATGCTTGTCAAGTCGACCATTGTCGCGTCCAATTGGCTCACAAAGAAAACTACCTAGCGTACTCTAAAGTGTAGATAACGAACCTATAAACAGGGACAGAGATATTAATGTTTAAAATATCAGCTGTCTTAATCTCAGTCTTAATTTGCTTTTACTACCAACGTGATCCTGTAAATCCTTTAATAAGATTTTTTTTAATATTATAGTTACGAAATGCTTAAGAAACGCAGGGCATGGTGATTCCCTATCATCGGATGGATGGATGGATGCTAACGGCTGTATCTTTTATAACGGGCGGTAGCTTGCGCCACCTAGCCTATTATCTTTTCGCGACCAATCAGATTGTGGCAATGGACAGTACGAATGTTGAAGAACGAACCAGGAACCAAGAAGCGAGAAGGTAGTAAATAAACCACGCCCTGCGTTCCTTAACATGTCACTGACTATAGAAAAAATGTTCTGTAATTTAAAGATGCTTTCAGCGAAGGTGTTTTTTTGCTTCTCATTCGGCTGGGACCGTGATACGTTTCGGAAGTGATTTCGTCGCACCGTAGGCCATCGTTTTCCTCGCGCTCTTTATTTTTTATGTCTTTGTTTTATTTTTTCATCTTAGAACAGATTGTTTTCCTTAAAAGAGTTGCGATTGTGTACATGTGTGTGCTTGTGGTACTTCACGTGCTGGTACAGGGTGCGTAGTACTTTCACTTGATCTTGTTACAAGAACCATTCCGATCTTTCACTGACAATTTAAGTGTTCTTGGTGAACGTGCCCTTTCCTTCTTGCTACTCCGTCGAAACTCAAAATACCGACGTGATTGAGACTTGTGCTCGAAAGTGCTCTTCGACAAAGATAAACAAAGCAAAAAATAAAATGGCACGTCGTTATTTTTGATGGAGAGCTAGAAGGCGTTTCTTTAGATGGGGAACGAGTATGGTCTGACGAAAAGAACTTCGAAAATAAAAGTTGTTTTCTTTTTGTTTCCAAGTCATTTGTGTGGACTGCCGACGTCTCAAAACATCAGAACAGAATATTAGTCCACTGAACTGCTCGAAAATCATAAATGCAAAATTATGCCCTTTAAAAAAAAAAAAAAAATTATTTTGTTGCAGTGAGAAAATAATGTCTACGGCCACGGCGGAAGAAAGAAAGAAAGCGTCTGAACGGCGTCGCGACGTGGAACGGGTGTGTCGAAGGTTCGCTCGCACTTCTGGCAATCGCCGTGAGATGGCGGAGTATGACAATAGACCTTAGGGAGCCTTCATACCTTTCGCCACGTCTGTCTTAGGCACGGTGGAAGAAATACATTTCGGTGGTGCCTCTGGCCGCTCTTCACGCGGGGAGCGAGCGGCCAGATCGTGTTCGGGGCTAGCCTAGAACAAGGAGTATAAAAAAAAACTCTGTTTCACCTTATGATGTACCGCAGGAAAGGCTACAAGCGCGAGCTCCTTGCTCTGAGGCACATCCCGGAGGCACAAGCTCTCATGACTTAAGAGCAACTGCCAACGCTATGAGCTCGCGCTCCTAACCTTCGCTGCGGTACAACATAAGGTGAAACGAGGTGTAGTTGTTCCGCGCCGCCGCAGAGGCCGCTGAGGTGTGAGCACCGTTAAAGCCCCTTGATAAAGGCGTTTTTTTACAAGTACCGCCAACCATTGTTGGGGAACCGCGCGAGACACGTGCCACGAGCGGGTGCTCGGCCGCCATTCGCTTCCTAGGGCCGCTCATTTCAGTGCTGCGCCGCCATTCGCTTCCAAGGGCCGTTCGAGACGTGGGTCTCGTGTACTCGCGCATTTGACGCTACTTGCAAGACAGACACAAACACATCGAGGGGCTTTAAGCACCGTGGGTATAAGGCCTCTCCTCGGCGGGCACGGTGTCGGGGGCGTAGCTGACTCGCCTTCTTCGCGGTGTGGTGGTGGTGTGCGGTCAGTGGCTGGCCTCATGCTTTTTGCTTTGGTGCTGCGTCAATCACCGGTGCCACCATCGTGCACGAAGATGAACCTTAACCCGAAGAACAAGTTATGCTATAAGGATGGGAAAGACTTGCTTCGTTCCCAACTGCAATTCGGGGTACCGGAACTGCGCAGAGCGAGTGTCCTTGTTTAAAGCTCCATCGAATGGCGCTCGCCTAGAGCAATGGCGTCGTGCAATCCCGAGGGCCGATCGCAAGTTACTACCTAGTCTCCTCATCTCGTTGACCAAGTGAAGACCAAGCTTGGCAGTCTAATTTCTGTCGAAGACTGGGAATGCGAAGGTGTCTGGACAGAAAAGGCTCAAGAAACCAAGGCTGTGGACTGCATGCTATATTATGTAACTGGGTTTTTGAGCGTGAAAATAAAAAAAAAAAAAATAAAAAACTACACGCTGTTCTGCATGCCGATCAGCTTTCAGCATCGACAAGAACACTTCTGCTGAAGCAGCCCTGACAAACGTGAAGAACAGAGGAAGCCTTATACACCCCAACAAGAACCTTTTCCAGCTACTGAAGAAAGCGGAACAGTTCTTCGTGAAAAATAAAAGCCACCAGACTGTCTACTGGGACACAATCGACAGTGTTCTTGACACATGCACAATAACGTTTCCATGCGGTGAACACAAAGAAACAACTGCCCAGCTGCTCCACTACTACTTCAGCATGCGAATGCGACAACACTGTAAGCATATATTACGATGAGAATCAACAAACAAGCTCAAGAAGTAAAGAAATCAGCGAAGCAGCGCTCTTCTTAGTTTAAGGGCATGGGCGAGAAACACAGGATGTAGGAGGTAGCGTTCTTTGGTAGTATGCAGTGAATTCAGCTTTTATGTACATTTTAAAGCAAAAATACTTGTCAGGTATTTTTTTTACCAGTAAGACGGAGTGCCACCATATTGTGAGAGTATAGATGAAAAGTGATTTATGTCTTATAACCGCTACTATTGTTTGACTTTCAATCACTATGTCATCATGTCAATCAGTATGTCATCATACTGTGTCATCGTTTCAGTCACTATGTCATCATAAATAAGATTGTTTTCAGCTCACAAGGTTGGTATGTTCCATGCTTATTTTATGTGTAAACCATTTGTAGCGCTAAAACCATTATGCGCATGTAAATAATTATTTAGGCCCCACAGTGTAACATTATTAGAATTAATTTTTTTCAATAAGGCAGGAGCAGGGGGGAAAAATCACCCGCCATGCAATGTGTGTAAACAAGTTACGGAACTGTTACCAAAGTTTTTGATTAACAAAACATGCGAGTACGACCCAGGTGTTTACTCTAAATTACTCTAAATTATTGTAGGCCCAGTAGATTATGCCGGGGAATTATATATTTATACGAGTATCTTTGCCACGTTGAGTCATCATCGGAATGTTCTCGTTTAAAAAAAAAAAAAAAGGAACCGCACGGGGAAAAGGCAGTCAGTGCCAGTGCGCCAACATAAATCAATCATTTCACTACACAGTACACAGGGACCGAGTAAAGAATGCATAATTTCCTACACAAGCCCTATAAACAAGCCTTCACAAGCCCCTCTATACGTGGGCGCCATCTATCCCCGTGCGAGTGAAGCGCGCTCGGTCGGCCGAACATAATGTGGTCGCCGCGCGAGACAGAGTCATCACCTAAATGTATTTCTTCCACCGTGGTCTTAGGGTGGCGGCCTCTCGGCCATTTCTGTGCCCAGAATGCACGCGCTTCGATCTCGTTCGGAGCGAGCGCTTAGCTCCGCCGGTGGTTTGGCGCCATTTTAAGGCCCATTTGGCACGCGCAGGCAGCTTTCAATACAACGATGGGTGTCTTCACCCTATGACAGACGCACATCGAGGCACCCTAATATACCTATTTCTATCTTACCCAAGCATCAAGGAGAATGCAGGCATCGGTGTTTCACGCGCCGCACGTGCTGGCCTCAGCAGTAGTGACTTTTCTAAAGCAAATACTTAAAACAAATGGCATCTTGCACGCGCGTTCGTCAACGCTTTATTTGGGTTCTTCGAATCTTTTATACGGGGAAGGTGTGCGCGTGTGGCGCTTGGAACAACAATCCTTGCATTATCCTTGATGCTTGGGTAATTTAGCTATTGGCGGCGAGATGTTTCGGTGGCGCCCTCCTATGGTTCCCTCTCGTGACGTCATTACCTTGCGAACAAGTTCGATGGTGCTTCTAATGAGCATGGTGGAAGCTTGAAGTCATTGCGCTCTCAAAGAAACACTGCCAACACCATCAAAATCTAAGTTCTCACATTACTCTTATTTCCGTCGATAAGACATCCTTTGCTGACGTCATAGTCAGCATTCGGCCAATCGTGGAAGGCTGACCATTGCGACGCTTTCGATCGCTCACGTCGCCAATAGGTCTATTGGGCCTTGAGGAACCGTCCTTAAGCGCGCACAGGTTTTCAAGGCCGCGCCATCGCGAGAGCCCTAAATCAACAGCGCCTCTGCCGGGAGGTGCGCGAAGCCCGAGTGAAAGGTCAGTCCCCTTTCCCGCCTTACTCAGATGCTCCTGTTTTTTTTCACCGCTGTCTACGTCAAGCCTCACTTATTTCACTCTTTAGAATAATAGACCCTTTCCGAAATTCAGTGCCAACTGGTGGCTCATACAGCGAAGTCTAATTTTTGCCATACCAATGTCGGTCATTAACTTGCATTTTTATCGGGCAGCGTCCCTTTCGTCCCTTTCGCAAACCAACGGTTGGCGAGGAAGTGTTCAGTGTTCAGTTCTTTCTCGATCCCTTTCAGTTTCGATGGTGACAAACATACAACCGGTCAGAATGATGCTCCAACCTCCGTAGGCGCTTCGATAAAATAATACCCCCAAAGGGCTTTAGGGCCAATTGTGTGCCGCTTACAGAATCTGAATTAGAAATGAACAGACTGAATCTGAGTTAGAAATGAACGTTTACGAAGCTTTTGTCCACTCGTGTTCGATTCCTGCGTCGCACCGTACTAACTCGAATGTATACACCTCGCATCATCCACTTAGAAGCATCTTTAAGGCCACGGTCCCACTGAATGCGGCAGTTTATGTAGTTTTTGGCAGGTCATTACTCATCTCCTTTTAAATACTGTTTTGTGGGATTGATGTCATTCGAAAGGCAATGCAATCCTCTTTCATTTGATATTATGTCTGTGTTGGTTTATACTGTTCATGCGCATTTGTAGCGTTGCGAATATGATGGCGCGGACCCTCACTTGCTCCGCTAGTTCATGTTTTATGAACGATCCATTAAAGATAGCACGGTTCCAATATAGCAGTTTTGTTAAGATGATGTCGGAGCAGAATGTAACGATACACTTTTTTGGTATTTGCGCTACTTTGTTTTTTTCATCCCTCCAAATATTGCCCTAAAATTGACATTTTTCAGCACAATTATGTTTTTAATGAGACGCGCTAGGGCAATGAAATTAGCTACAGATGTAGTGCTTATAATTGGTAATATGCAGAGAAAAATTTAATGTTGTGTAAAATTTTTTTGTTTAGATATTTTATATCAAACGTAGCACTTTTTTGTGCTTCGTGCCATGGTACTTCAAATGCCGCTGAGGAAATAATTAAACTATGACAAAATATTTTATAACATTTAGAGCTACAATGGTTGCCCAAGAGGTGGACGATGGATATTTCTTATTTTCAAAGTCATAACGCTCCAGGAGAGTTTCAAACTTACCTGTTTTGACGCATATCTTTTTTGGACATCAAACCGATTTATTGGCATCTAATAATATTTATTGTTTGGAATAGATATAAATTGCGATGTATTAACCTTTCACAATGATCTTGCTTTGGTTTCTTAATAGGTGTAGAGCTTAGCTAATTTTAAAAACAATTAAAAACTGTTTGGCTGTTTTGTTGCGCTACCTGGCGGATGGCAGACAAACTGCTGATTTCTAATGTTCGAAAAATTTCCGAGGGCGGCGTTGGCGTCTGTATCATCATCAATCTCCGTGTCTTTTTACCCCCACATTTAAAAAATATATTGGAAGATTT